AGATACCAATTATAGATGGCAGGACCAGTGCTGAGGTGAAAGGAAATATCTTTAAAAAATTTTTGAAAAACAAATTTATTCTTAGAGGGCGCTTATTTACAGTCTAAAACGTATTTTAGGAATTTTTTCATTAAATTCCTCTTTAAACTTCATTAGATAATATAATTTTGTACAAATAATTGAATGTTATGCTACTATTTATAAAAATAAAATCAGAAATCCATTAAAAGATAAGTTCTCTATCATTTTTTCAATTCACAAATGATTTTGCCCTCACACTTGCATTGCCTACTAAGAAAGTTAGTAGCCAGTAGTCATCGGGTTAATTAACTCTTGAGGAATCAGTGTTTCAGCTAAGAAACCTGTCAGTATCTTCAAAAGCTACAGTTATTTCTTTCATTATCTCATAAGAAATTTTTCTTAAATAACTGGTGGCAGGTGGTACTGATTTTATATTTTACAAAAAAAAGTAAATCTACAACAGTACTTGGAGCCAATAGCTAATATTTGTGTGTTCTGTAAGTAAGGTAAACTCTATTATTTATTATTATACTTTTGTTATAGAGATGTTTTGCATTGTTAGTTTAACATACATATTTAGGACTAATTTAAATTTCCTAAGCTGGCCAAACTTTGTGCAATATTATTTGGATTATGGCTGAAAATATCATAAACAGTGAAGGTATGGAAATGATGAAACAATGCATTTTATTATTTATAAGTAAGAATGTACAAAAAGTGTATTTAATTAACTATACTGATTATCAGGTTGATTTTTTTTTAGTTTTGCTGTAAGTATGCTTGCTCTGATCAGAAATTAATATAATTATTTGGTATAAAAGAACAGGAAAGATTATTAGCCTACAGCTGTTTTTTTTTCCTTGTTTTATTCTGGAACTGCTAATTTTTCCTACTTATAGTAGCATATAGTTCATCAAAAATGATGGGGAAGTACTATCACTCCCACCCTATAGTATACTCTAATCTCACATTTCATAGCTAACTGAAACAAATAAGTTTTGCAAAATCCAGCTTGACCAACAAAGAGGCAGAAAAGTGCAGTCGAGGCAGTCAAACATTGGTAAATTCCTTTGTGAGCTAATCAAAATTAGGATAATTCATGAAATGAATTCATGGCATATTCATAGCATAATTATTGGTAAAAATCAGCTAGATTTAAAACTTTTAATAGATAGAAAAGCCAATGCATTTTGGTAACACTACATTACAACAATGGCTTTTATGTCACATTGCTTAGCAACAAAAGTATAACCTAATATTGTTGTTAGTCTATATACTAAAAGTATAAAATGAAATGTATAGACAACAAAACTGGAAAACTGTTTGTTGATTTCTTAATTTAAAGTCTCCTTGTTTTTTTTTATTAAAAATGTTGGTGATACAACTGAAAATTGCTTAATTCAGAAACTATTTAAGTTTAAAATTGAAGTGATATTTTTACTTGCATGATATATTTTATGCACTTGGCTCTAGGCTAGGTGATCCCCCACACCATGTCTTTACTTTAGGTTTATTATACCAACACTCACTACACTTATAAGGTTTCACGGCCCACACACCCTCACGGCCTCCATGCATCCCCGTCACTAAAATCGTAATGGGCAAAGAGTAATCGACTATTCTATCTGGATAAACGCATTTTGGCTTTTGACTTCTTTTATTTCGAGAAATCAAGTGTGACACACACTGGCTTTTATATAGGTTAGATTTTATTGTGTGTAAAGTGTGCATTATTTACAGTCCATGATTTTTTAAAAATTATCTTTAATAAAATCTAACATGCACACACGAAAAACCAATAAATCTAATTTGTTTGTTTCTAGATTCTCCAGTTTTGATTGAACGTATTACGTCCAAGTTACGAAGTTCCATTTCGAGGATGGAAAAATCTCATTAAGAAGTTTTCTTATTACTCCATAACTTTATAAATTATTTTTCAATATTCAGCTGAAGATATGATAAAACTTATAAAAGTAAGTTTTATTTTCAATTTACATAAATTAATTTGTATTTAATATTATATTATTTCAAGTAAGTATCTATTAATGAAAGTTTCTGATGTATCATTTTAACTATTAGGACTGTATTTATTGACCTGTTTTACCACAACTCCACCCAATATAAATTGTATTTATTTTATTCTCCCATTAAAATTGAACTAAGATTTTAACATTTCCGGTTCATGTAATGAATCGGTTCATTTTTTTAAATCAGCTTTTTCTTTCGGTGAAGAGCCATTATCCATATCTATGGGTGTGTTTTCTTTCCTGTGGATGGTGTCTTCAGAAGATGAGGTGTGTTTAGATGTTTCGCGGTGACTCAATTGTTTGATCTCATGCGTCTCGTTGCAAGCTTTTTATTCTTAGTACAATGGGGAATTAGAACGAGCATATTATGTGAATGCAGCCTTCTTGAGAACCCACTAAATTCAACCACGCTGAAAGTAGCTTATTTTTAAGCTACTGAATTCAGAGAAAAGACAGGACATAGTGACAAAAGAAACGAACAGATTAAAAAAAAAACTAATTTCCAGAAAACCAAACTTATCAAAGGACATAAAAATATAACTTGCTCGTAAGATATACAACAATAACAACAACAAAAAACTTCTTAAGATACAAACCTCTACAACACAGTAAATTGCGGTAAAACCACAATTCATCACCCAGATATATCCATTAAACAATAGGGGTTCACCAAACTGCTTTGACCTTTATTCGGACTTTTAATATGAATAAAGTCCCACTGACTATATTATTATTTTTATCAAAGTGCTCTTGCTGGGATAATTCTTCCTGCAACAATTCCCATCTGTTTACTCTACCTTCTACCAGAATCATTCTTCTATTTTTATACTCCTCCTATTCTTCCTGCAACAATTCCCGTCTGTTCACTCCACCTTCTACCATAATCATTCTTCTATTTTTATACTCCTCCTATTCTTCCTGCAACAATTCCTGTCTGTTCACTCCACCTTCTACCAGAATCATTGTTCTATTTTTATACACCTCCTATTCTT